ACACACACACACACACACACGGAGGGAGGGAGGGAGAGGCTCTGCAGGGCATCCTTATAAAATATGTGTGTGTGTGTGTGTGTGTGTGTATGGGGAGGGAGAGGGAGAAAGGCTCTGTACATGGACATTCTTATAAAAATATAATATAATATATAATAATATATCATATAATGTAATATATATGGCCTCCGTGTCAAGCAAGGAACAGGTTGACGTTCCTGCCTCCCCGCACAGCCGCATCCCTCCTCTTGCCAGCTTCGAGCAGGAACCTTGCCTTTTATGAAGAAAGTGGAAACCGACCAAGACGTGTGATTCAGAGGTTCCATTTTCTCTCCAGGGTCAAAGCAAAGCCCGCCACACTTCCTCCAGGCCGAACGGCACGGTATGCGCTCGGGCTCTGTGGCGGTGAAGAAAAGCAGGCCAATCGAGGTTTATGAAAAGCTCCATTATGGGAAGCCGGTGGGCCCCTCCCCGAGAGCCAGGGATGCCTTTAGGAAGACACAATCTGCCCCCTTTTTTGTGTGTGTGGATTGTGGCTTTCCAGACAATTGCTGGGAGTTTTCGCGGAGGTGGGCAAAAGCCACCCCTCCCTTTACTTTAATGCTTATTTTTGCAGTTGGAGTCGCCCACACAGACAGGGCCAAGACTGAATTCCCCCCCCCCCCCCCCCCCCCCCGAATACACTACATTTTCTGGGAATTTCCTCCCCCTCCTGCCTTGAATTGCTGGATCCTGTCCTTTTCCTAGCAGAATATCTGGCAAAACGTTCTCACCGCCTCCCCACCCCAAATCCGCCCGTTAATATTAAAAAAAATCTGCCACTTTTGCTGTTTCTTCAGACCAAAGTTTTTTGGGTTTTTTTTTGGCCTCCCTTTCTCCTTTGATTATTCTTTGATCATCCTTTGATCATCTGTGGGATGTCAAGCTAGAGATGCTGGTTCCCTGGTAGTCCTCGACTTACAACGGTTCATTGACTGACCGAAGTTACAAACAACAACAACAAAAAAAGAAAAAGCAACCTGACCGTTTTTCACGCTTAACGACCGTTGCCGCATCCGCCGCGCTCACGCGATTGAAATTCATCCTGGCCTGGCCACCGACTCATATTTACAATAGTGGCCGTGGTCACGCAGTCCCCTTTTACGACTCGCTGATGAGCAAAGGCAGTGGGAAAACCCGGATTCGCCTCACAGCCGTGTGGCTCACACGGACAAACACAATACAGAAGCCTGATGATGGCAAATGAGATTCTGCCAAAACGTTGCTACAACTTTAAAAGCACAACTACAATGATGTGGGAAAATACCCAAAGCTGAATACCATACATACATTCATACATACATACATACATACATACATACATACATACATACATTTCCAACAGCAAACCATAAACCATAACGTGGTGCAAAGTGCCGATCGGCTCATAAAAAGATATTTTAACCAGCAACAAAGAACATTCACATGATCTTTTGCGCCTGGTGCTTTTTGCTTAGTCCATTAAAAAGCCTTTATGTTCCACTGATTAAAAACTTCTGTGCAATTCCTTTTTTAAAAAAAGGCTTCCAGATGCAGAAGAGCTGCAATGAAAGAAAAGCAGTTCAGGGTTGAATTGCTGCCTGTTTACAGTCGAGGGGAGGATCTTGTTCGGCACGGGCAGGAGACACATTCTGATAAATGACCACAACCTAAAGAAACAAGCAACAAAAGTGTTAGGACCATTTGTGTGCATGTGTGTGCATGCATACATTCTCATTTCACAGCTCAGAACAGAATTCCTCAGCTTTCCAACAGCCTTTTGACTGATTCTCTCTGTTTCCAATATAAGACTCTCTATAGCACTTTGATTCCCAAGAGGAATCGTGATCTTTATTGGAGCATAAAGATAGCACTGTCTCTCTTTAAAGCAGCTGAATCCTTTTCTGTTTTGCATGGCTAGGGCTCCCTCCAAAATCCCAGAAAAAGATGCAACTGCTTTAAAGACATTAACAGAGTTACTGGGTTCAAGCTGTCACACATTTCAAAGTATCTTTTTGGGAATTCAGTCTGAAGCGCTAGCTGGACCATGTACAGATTAGGCACTCCTTGGGTGGTAAGAACCTTATATTGTCTTCTGCCAACCAGCTGGAATCTGAGCTGAGATTCATAAGGTGGTTTGTTTCCTTTAGGTTTCTCGCAATATGAGAATCTATCCACTACCATTTATAATCTAGATTTTCAACACAGTGTATGAGTGAAGCCAAATTATTCTTTTGTGTCTACCTAGTACAACATGTGAATTCACCCCATCTTGGCAAACTTTTGCAGCAATCTTTCACCTTTGTTGCCAATGGCACCCCTTAGCCTGAAGCCATAGTATACCCATTGCTTTTATTTTATTTTATTTATAATACAATTCGGTGTCTATGTTTCACATGTAACAAAACAGCCAGATCTGTAAAATTAATCATCATCATCATCATCTCTTTTAACAACCCCCATAATCCCTTGTGAGGTGGAGTCTGGGCAACTGAATGGAACAGAGTGCTTAGTGGCCGGATGCCCTTCCTGTTGCCAACACAGAGATGTTGTTTTCTCAGTAGATATATTCATATTGTGCCCAGAAAGAGAAATATTTGCCTCCACCTAGGATTGAACTCACAGCCTCCTGATTGTGAGGCGAGAGTTCCAACTCTAGGCTACCGTACCAGTCATTTGCAAAATTTGAGGTTTTTTTCATCTGAGTTATGGTAAATGGAAGTGTGGTTGTATTTTCTCTAGGCTTTAGCTTTTCACTCTCCTCTGAGTCCAAATGGCATCCATCACAACTCATGCCAAAACAACCTCCATAAGGATTTGATGCTTTTAATGAGCATCTCTAAAACATATACGAATCAAGTTGCCTGCACAAGAGTAACTCAGAATCTCCCTACAGTGGTACCTCAGTACTCGGCTGCTTCAAAACTTGTTGAATTTGATATTTGACACATTTTGACCTGGAAATGTCGTCCCAGTACTCAGTGTTTGTTTAGTACTTGATGAACTGTGATAAGAAGAGAGGCAGAGCTGCAGAGAATGGACAGGAAGTGGGCCATGCTGGGAAGGTCGCTGTAAAAGGAGGAGGACAACCACAGAGGGCGGACAGGAAGTGGGCCATGCTGTGAAGGTCGCTGAAAAAGGAGGAAGACAACAATAGAGGATGGACAGGAAGTCAGCCATGCTGGGAAGATCACTGCAAAAGGAAGGGGACAATCACAGAGGATGGACAGGAAGTCGGCCATGCTGGGAAGATCACTGCAAAAGGAGGGGGACAACAATAGATGATGGACAGGAAGTCAGCCATGCTGGGAAGGTCACTGACATGTGAAAAGGGACAGACAGAAAGTTTTTCCCAGTCAAAACAAAGGGTGATAAGTCACGAGTTCGTTTAGGATTCATCCTTTTTAGTACCTATCGCACCTCCTGAAATCAATTAATGCTGAATACTAAGGTACCATTGTATCTGAACACTAGCCTGAGGAGAGGCAGCAAGGAAGAGGTGTGATCCTATCCAACATAATGCCTTCCAATCAGACTATTCCATATTGAATAAATATCAGAAATCCATGTGTCTCAATTCATTTCCCTTGGTGGACTACCCATCTTCCTTTGGAAATCTTACTTTTTCAGAGAAGGTATCTCGGCAAAGCATCTTACATCCAAAAGACGCAACTGAGATGGTGATGCAAAACTCCAGGGCGGTGAACAGAGTAAGAATAGTCAGTATTCCTAGGACGATATTCTATCAATGAAGCAGAAAAGTAACATATCCATTTTTATACACACAGCCAGGCATATTTATCTCCAGTTCTAGAGTAAGGAAGGTGATCGGATGTGATAGGGAGGATCTATTGCCTAGGTCATAAGGGGATTGAAGTATTTTTGAGTCCAAAACAGAAACAGAGTAAGAGTTGGAAGGGAGCTTGGAGATCTTCTAGTCCAACCCCTGCTCAGGCAGGAAACCCTATACCATTTCAGACAAATTGGTTATCCAATCTCTTCTTTAAAACTTCCAGTGTTGGAGCATTTACAACTTCTGGAGGCAAATCATTCCACTGATTAATTGTTCTCACTGTTAGGAAATTTCTCCTTAGTTCTAGGTTGCTTCCCTCCATCTGTTGCTTTTCGTCCTGCCTTTTGGTGCTTTGGAAAATAGGTTGACCCCCCTCTTCTTTCTGGCAGCCCCATAGATATTGGGGGCAATGAACTAACATTTGGAATGCTATGGCCATGGCCTTCATTTTTTTTCTCCAATGGATTAATTATCAGAGGCATCTTAGCATTCCAAGCAATGAGATCACATCTGGAATTAGCCCAAGCAACTGCGCAGCCCAATCAGACTATTTGGGGCCCGGTTTTTTTTTTTCCCTGTGCCACACCTAAATATCTAGCAAAACTTTGACTATACGGTTACAGCTGCCACCTTGAAATTGTGGCCATCCCTGGGGGCAGCCCTGGTGTATATGCTTTGGAAAGATTGGGCCAAAGAAAAATACCCAAATTCTAGAAATCCCATGTTAATAACCTTTCCATGATTAAAACTCTATTTGGGAGTTTTGGGATATATTTAGATCTCTTCCAAAGAGATCCATGCCCCATTAGAGGACACTATTAACTTCTTTTTCTTTCTCTGCCCTGTTGAAACAAACTTCTTGCGGATGAATTTGGGAAGGTCGCATACTTATGATATAAAAGGGCGTACCTGGTTTGCATTACACTTTTTCTGAATTTCTTTTTCAAAATTATAGCAGTGCGTAGAGAAATTGAATAGATAGGGCATACCAAAGGTGGCAAACAGGGATGCCAGGCCCAAACCAGCTGCTACAGTACTTAACACATTCATGGCCACCATGCTTTGCACCTAGGGGAGACAAAATAAATTAATAAACATACATGCAAAGACACACACACACACACACGCACGCACAGGCTGGCTATGATGCAACTGAGATTTCTCGGACGATGATGGGAACAGAAGCATGTCAACTTTGGGTTTACTTTAGCCAGAAAAGGTGAGGTTGGTGTCCTTTAACCCCTTGCAAGAGTGGCTCAACGTTGAGCCTTCTTGCTCCTCTCAAGTAGAACAGCTTGAATGCAGACCCTTTGGCCTGGCAGATTAGCCATTGTGAAGAGAGACAACCTCAAGGCATTTGTTTCCATCAGAATATTCCACCAGAGATGGAGACACAGCACCTCTTTGCTAAAATCGGGCAAAAAAGAGATTTCAGAAAGACCTGCAGTTTCCCAAAAAGGGTATTCAGGGGAGAGGCTCTTTTTAAACAAGACATCACAACCATCGTGATGCTCCCTTGGATGTTAGTGATCCAGGAACATCCGAAATTCACCAAGCTCCTGATTGGTAACCCCAATGGATTGCAGCTCTCCATGCAGGGGTGGGATTCAAAAATCCCAGCAACCGGTTCGCTGCCCAGTTGCTGTGTGGGCGTGGCCATGGTGGGTGTGGCCTACCAGAACTTCTGGGGGGGGGCGTTTTTCACCTTCCCAAGGGTCCGGAGGCTTCCCTCGGGCCTCTAGGAGGGTGAAAATGGCCTCCCCTGGGCTCTGGAGGCTCTCTGGAAGCTGGAAACAGGCCTATTTTGCAAATTCTGCGCGGACCCTGCACTTACCTGCATCGAAAATGGGCCACGTGGAGACTCCTGGGAAGGGAGGGGCTGGACGGGCAGGGCCAGCCGGTCAGATGAAATACCGGTTCGGTGAACCAGATACAAATTTAACATCCAGTTCGCCCGAACCGGTCCAAACTGGTAGAATCCCACCCCTGTCTCCATGGCTACAAAGGAGAGGCTTTCTCAATCTTTCATTGCTGGGATCTCCCAGGTGGACAGTTTCTGATTAACCCACGGTCTTCGTTTTTGCTCCAAGGGATTAGTTACCAGAGGCATCCGGGGATTCCAAGCAGCTGCCACAGCTAAGGATCCGGAGATGATGTACTGGAAGGAAAAGAAAAGAAAGTGAACCAGTATGGCTCTATCCCCAGAGGACTGGATTTACAGTATAAACCCATAATCTCTTTTCCACCTTAAACTGCTGCCTCTTGTCACTGCCTACTGTTCTCTGATCAACGTTTGTGTTGAAACCCAATCCACTTTCCCTATTCTAGTTGAAGATGCAGCTGCTTTAAGGTGTCACAGCCAGGGGTTATGTTCACTGAATTTTTTGTGCTACACAGCACTAACAGATTTAACAGTTCAACAGAGTTGGAAGGGACCTTGTAGGTTATCTAGTCCAACACACACACCCCACTCAAGCAGGAGACCCTACACCATTTCTGACAGATGGCAATCCAGTCTCTTATTGAAAGCTTCCAGGGATGAAGCTCCCACAACTTCTGAAGGCAACTTCTGTTCCATTGGTTGATTGTTCTCATTGTCAGAAAGTTTCTCCTTATTTCCAAGTTGAATATCTCCTTGTTCAGTTTCCATCCATTATTCCTTGTCTGGCTTTCAGGTGCCTTGGAAAATAGCTTGACCCCTTCCTCTCTGTGGCAGCCCCTCAAATAGTGGAAGACTGCTATCCTGTCTCCCCTGGTCCTTCTCTTCACTAGACTAGCCATGCCCAGTTCTTTTAACCATTCTTCATATGTTTTAGTCTCCAGTCCCCTAATCATCCTGGTTGCTCTTCTCTGTACTTTTTCTAGAGTCTCAACATCTTTGTAATAGTCTGGTGACCAAAACTGGATGCAGTACTCTAGGTGTGGCCTTACTAAGGTGTTACTGCACCTCTGTATGGTTTGCCAATTGCACAGTGGCAGATAGGAAAGTACTTCAGCGGGTTAACATCATTGCCCAGAGGATCATTGGTTGCCCTCTCCCCTCTTTGGAAGAGCTTTATAGCTCCTGATGCCTTAAGAAAGTTCAAAACATTCTCAAAGATCCATCTCATCCTGGGAACTCTTTTTTTTGAACTATTACCATCTGGCAGACAGTACAGAATAATAAAAACAAGGACAAATAGGCTGAAAAACAGCTTCTATCCCAGGGCAGTAGCTCTTTTGAATTCTATTGTATAGCGCAATATTAATGCAATATCAGGGGTTTTCAATTCAATTATATAGAATGCAAAGGATGTGTGTTTGTGTTTATTTTCATAGTCATAATATACACTGAAGATGGTATTTAATTTTGTTGTACAAGGTGCAATGACAATAACGTAAATTTTAAAAAAAACTAAAACAAAGAGAGACATTCCAGCAGTTTGGGGAGTGGTGTCCAGCTGGCCACGGCCACCCAGTCGACCATGCCCACCCAGTCAGCCACCCCAGTAAGTGGCATCAAGCTGGCCACGCCCACCCAATTGGCCACGCCCACCCAGCCCCCCAAGGTCAACCATAGCCCTGATGCCGCCCTCAATGAAATTGATTTTGACAACCCTGGTGTAAAATTACCAAGATTCCACTCCAATAGGGCATCCATACAATAAGGTAGATAATATCACGTTCATTAATGATGTTGATCAGCATCCCAAAGATAATTTGTATGATTCCTATGAATATCTGTGTGATCTGCAAAGAGGAAAAAACAACAACACCTTTACTTCCAACTCACCACAAACCAGAGCAACAGAGCAGGAGGGAAACAAGATGCATGCCAAAGCCTATATAAATTTTATATCCTTTCCCCTTCCCCCCCCCAAAAAAAACTTTGTTAGTAAAATAATACAATATTTTAAAATAGAATATCTAATTATACATGCAATTCACCTGCGGCTGCTACAACCTTCCCACGACCAGTGATAGACTAGGGAACCAACAGAACTCCAGATGTTGCTGAACTACAACTTCCAGCATCTCTCGGCACTGGCAACTGCTTTTATCACTACTATATTGTTCAATAACCTCTGGAGAACTTATTTTTCATGTCATTTTAGCTATTGGCCAGTAGGAGGCACTACACAATCGATTTCATCCTTGCTGGGACTCATCAAGCATTCTCTTGTTCAACCTTTTCTTGTATGTGTATGTGTACATCCTGGACATAAATGGTTTCAACTTCTACCCTCAAAACGATGCTATAGGGCACTGCACACCAGAACTACTAGACACAAGGACAATTTTTCCCCACATGCCATCACTCTGCTAAACAACTAATTCCCACAACACTGTCAAATTATTTACTGTATTACTATTATACTTTTCATCCTTCCTAGTACCTATCTCTTCCCACTTATGACTATAACCGTGTTGCTTGTAGTTTTACAATTTATATTGTTTTATTTATTTCCTAGTATAATTTGATTGCTTATTAGTAACCTATGACTATCATTAAGTGTTGTATATTATGATTCTTGATGAATGTATTTTATTTTTTCTTTATGTACACTAAGAGAGCATATGCACCAAAGACAAATTCCTTGTGGGTCCAATCACACTCGGCCAATAAAGAATTCTATTCTATTCTATTCTATTCTATTCTATTCTATTCTATTCTATTCTATCCTATCCTATCCTATCCTATCCTATCCTATCCTATCCTATTCTACATTCTATTCTATTCTGCATTCTATTCCATGGCCATTCCATTCCATTCCGTTCTATTCTATTCTGCATTCTATTCTGCATTCTATTCTATTCTGTTCTGTTCTATACGCATATGCCATGGTGGTGCAGTGGTTACAATGAGGTACTGCAAGCTAATTCACTGCTAACTCCAGCAGTTCGATTCTGACCAGCTCAAGGTGGACTCAGCCTTCCATCCTTCCCAGGTCAATAAAATGAGGACCCAGATTGTTGGGGGAAATAAGCTGTAAACCTCTTAGAGAAGGCTGTAAAGCCCTATGAAACGGTATATAGGTCTAAGCACCATTTAAAAAGAAAGATAAGTATAAAGAGAAGGGGTTTTGGTGTTATTTTTATTTTTCTGGGCCTTGTGCTACTAGCCTCAAGATCACCTTCCCTCGAGGCTTGTGGACTTCAACTCCCAGAATTCCTGAGCTAACATGACTGGAGGAGGAATTCTGGGAGTTGAAGTCCACAAGCCTTAAAGCTCTCAAGTTTGAAGACTCCTGCCTTAAGGGGAAGAGGGTTATATAGTTTTCAGATGTTACATTAGCTGGTCAGAATGACAAATGGTTCAAGGATTTTCATATGTACCCAAACAAAGAATCCTCGTGCTCCTATTGCAACAGGATCGGGGACCATAGGATCCTCAGAAAGAGAGAAGCTATCATTCCACTCATCTCCATACTCACCCCCAGTGCCAGAGGTTCACCCCGATAAAACTTTTTCAGCGGGACTGGAAGATCAGTCTGAGTGATGTAAGAAAGAGAGCCTGCAGTCATGACCACAGGCGGAGCATCCATGCTGGGCTATGCAAGAAGGGAAGTCCGTTAGGCCATCAAAGTCAGCAAGGCTGGGGAACCGTAGAAAGGAAGGAAAAAAGAGAGGGTAAGAAAATAGTCTTACAAAATATAAAACATACGATCCCCATTATTAATTTCCCGGTTCTCAATAGTTAGGTCCTGCATCAGGAAGCTTGAAAAGAATGCACTTATCTTTTATCCTTAACTAGCGGGGGGGGGGGAATAATGGGGTGAAATTCTGCCTCTGCCTACCAGCCTCCATTGGTATTCATCTGGCTAGCATCCTGTCAGTGTGTGAAAGAGTTGAGAGCTGTCTGGAAACTGAAGCAGTATTTGCTGTGTGAGCAAAAAGGAGACAGCAAGGAGCCTAGGCATGGCTTAGCTCAACTGTTTTGTACTAAAGCTGCTTGGTGCTGTGGAACTGAAACCAAAACTCCTCTCCTCTGCTTGTGTTTTGCATTTGGAACAGATTTCTTTTCAGGTGGGGAGGGGGAGTAGAGCTCCTTAGCATCAGAGCATGTTAATAATAATAAAACTGCGCTACTTGGAACATCATACATTTTAAGAAGATACTTGGTCGATACCTGGGATGCCAGCAACCTGTATCAACCATCAGCACCAGTAAATTTTGTGATACTTATTTGTGATATATTTTTAAATGTTCAGTTGACTGAGTTTCATCTTTAATGAATAAAAGATAATGATGATGATAACAATAACAATGACTATGACTATGACAACAACAACAACAATAATAATAGTAATAATAGTAATAATAATAATAAAAGACTGACTACAAGCAGTGGCATGACAAAGTAGCAACAATGGGCCATTGGAAGATCTCCAAGAAATACCATTTGCCTGTAAGCAGGAACTGGTGAGACTATAAAAATAAAGAAAATCATACAACATGAAGAAGTTAAATTGCTCTGGGATGTTAGAATTCAAACAGACAGGCACCTCCACATAACACTCCAGACTTAACAATTGTCGATAAGAAAGATAAAAAAGTCTGGATAGTGGATGTGGCAGTGCCTGGAGACAGCAGAATAGATGAGAAAGAACTGGAAAAGGTAACAAAATACAAAGTCATAGGTGCCTTGGGTGCAATCCCAAAATAACTGGAGCGCCACTTTGACAATTGACAATTTCACCATCAGTCAATTGCAGAAGGCAGTTTTACTTAGAACAGCTTCTATCCTGCGACGATATCTGTTAACACCATCAAACATCCTGATCTGCTTATCCCAGGTCCTTGGTAAGGACTGAATAGGTAGACAAAAATGCCCAACCCAGTCTGAACATCTGGCTGACTGTGCGATGATAATCATGATAATGATAACAAGCAACAACAATAACATAGAGAAGGAATAAGCTAAGATACCAGTCTTACTACCAAATTCATGCCAAATTCATACTAATGCTATGGAGAGAGTCCAACCATTCAGCGTGTTAGATAAAGCATGCCCCATCACAGCCAGCTTTATCTCAAGGATGTGTGCCAACCGAGGTGCAACAGTAGATAACTTTGAGATGAATGGAAACATCACCCTCATCCTCTAAGACAGAGGTCTCCAACCTTGGCCACTTTAAGACTTGTG